GTGATTAATCTTTGTACCATTTACTCAAGGACAGGTGAGCACTTGGTCACGTGACTGCCAGCAGCTCCAATCTTCCCAATCCAGATTTTGTACTTCTGCTTTTTAATCCCTGGCTGGTCCTTCCACTCTGGATTTCCTCACTTGCCTTTAACATTCTTACTGAAGTCCTGAAAGGCTTTTTGAGGGGAGAGAAAAAGCTGGTACGGGTCATTCAGTTCCTAATCTTGTGACTCTTGTGCACAAGGGGTGATTTTGAACCCGAGTGGCCACTTATTAACTGTACCTTAAAAAGCATGAGGTTAGAGGTGGGTGGCTGTCTGAGGTCTCCCACGGATGCTGAAATTTGAAGTGTTGGCAAAGTCTTCAAGAAGGGGAAGGCGAGGAGCAGATGACATTGAGAAAGGTGGGGATTTCCCTTGGTGGTTCTCCTATCGGCAGAGGTTTGTTAGCAACAAGAGAGGGAAATATTTGGTGTGTTAGGAACTAAGCTGGTGTAATAAATTATGAAACCAGCTGTAGCAAAAGTATGTGAAATCCACAGTCTGTCCTTAGGAAGGTGGTTTCCCTTTGCCCTGGGAAATTGCTTATGATAAAGGGGTTGGGCAATACTTTTGCTTTATAATAACCCATCCCAGGTTGAAAATGTCCCACGGCTGTCACAAGGCACCAAACCTCATCTTCTCTGACTTACAGCTTTCCTGGCAATGATGGACATAAATAATTAAAGAGCTAAATATGCACATAAATCTTTTCTCCAATCATTTGTCTAAAATTTTCACTTTCCTAATGAGGAGAGAAGATTAATTTTTAACGTGGTTCAATTAGTTAGAATCTAACCTAAGAATAGGTACACGTGAGTGTTTGAAAGAGTGAGTGTATTTCCTTCCTCTCCTGATGAGAGTAGCATTGAAGGCCACCCTTCTCTCTTCTCCCCTCTATCAGCTGTACTAAAAGCTTAAAGAAAAAATGATTGGCTAAATGAAAAAAGCTAAGTATTAAAAAGCATGAATTGAACTGTCCTCTAATATGTCCAACTGCATTTAATCAGATATGTGGTCAAAAATATAACACCTTCTAACTCTTGGTTAACCACAGTAATAAAAAAGGGTGTGGGATGCATATGACTTTGTATGACAAATATTGTGATATCTGCACAATCCTAAAAATTGTTTTTATTTGATTTTAAAAGAGCATTACATGTTTTTAGAGTATGCATCAGAAAGTTGGACCATGTGTGGTTAAGTCACATGTGGCTGGAAAATATTTCAATCCTTTGCACTTAATAAGTAGTTGTAGGAATCCCTGCCTACTATCCATCTTAGCTAGGTCCTGGAAAAGAATCACAGATACTGTGGAGTGTGTGTGTGTGTGTATGTGTGTGTACATGTGAGCACTTGGAATCATTTCAAATATAATTTTCTTATACTATTTTCTGTTGCATGTATAATATATACATGTAAATGCTTTTCAGTACATTTATTTTATTAACTGTGATGTAAAGTACTTTAAATAACAGCAGCAACAAATAAGACATTAGGTTTCTAATTCTGGTCCTCCTTAATACTTATTTTGAATGTATTTCTTTAAGAAATATTGGTGAACATTTTCTTTTTCTAAAATTGTAGCACCAGTTGCAATACAATGATGAATTCTTTGATCTTCTTGTTTATTTAAAATAAAAAGATAAACTTGGTAAGAATGAAAATGGATATCACCAATTTTTGCTCTACATTAGTAGAGCAATCTTGTGACCCTAATTTCTGAATAAAGAAATTTAAGTGTGTAATAATGAACCATTCACTTCATAAAATGCTTATATCTGTAAAATTTTAGTCAAGAAAATTTGATTAACCCACTAAATTGCATTCAAATTGAATTGGATTAGGTTCTATTTAGGAAAAATGATTTTCATGAGAAAAAATTGCTGCAAACGATGTAGTAATGTGTTCAAAATATGAGAATCTCCCGGGTGGGACTCAGGATGGCAACACAGGTATCTGGAAGAAATTTAAGGAGTGTGAAAGCCCAAGGGCTCGGAAAACACATACAATGAAGCAAAGGCTGTATGTGTGCATTAGTGTTAAGTCCATCTAGTGTAATTATGAAGATATCTTGGACACAGGGCAATTACAGTTTCTTAGGATGAAATATTATTATTAAAACAAGTTTTATTTTTTAGAGATTTATTTATTTGAAAGAGTTACACAGAGAGAGGAGAGGCAGAGAGAGAGAAGTCTTCCATCCGATGGTTCACTCCCCAATTGGCCACAATGGCCGGAGTTGTGCCAATCTGAAGCCAGGAACCAGGAGCTTCTTCCAGGTCTCCCATGTGGATGCAGGGGCCCAAGGACCCAAGCCGCAGCAGAGAGCTGGGTTGGAAGTAGAGCATCCGGGACATGAACCAGCGCCCATATGGGATGCCAGCACTTTAGGCCAGGGCGTTAACCTGTTGCACCATAGCGCCGGCCCCTAAAACAAGTTTTATTAAAACAAGTTTAAATATTTTTTTAAAGATTTATTTATTTATTTGAAAGGCAGAGGTGGGGGAGGTCTTTCATCCACTGGTTCACTTCCTACCGGCTGCAATGGCCAGTGTTGGGCCTATCCAAAGCCAGGAGCTTCTTCCAGGTCTCCCATGTGGGTGCAGAGGCCCAAGGACTTGGGCCATCTTCTACTGCTTTCCTAGGTCATAGCAGAGAGCCAGATCAGAAGTGGAGCAGCTGGGACTCAAGCTGGCACCCAAATGGGATGCCAGCACTGCAGGCAGCGGCTTTACCTGCTACACCGCAGCGCCGGCCCCATAAGTTTAAATATTTTAACAGTCTTAATATCGATCTATTGGTGACATGCTCAAACTTTTCCTCTGTAAAAAAAAAAAAAAAAAAGAAATTATCAATTCCCAACTTGACTCTCACTGGGATTAAACATGACAATAGGTCTGCTCTGATTTCATCATCATTTAAAAAAAATCATCTATTATTTTTCACTTTATGTTTCTGTGTGGGAGCAAACTGTTAAAATCCATACTTAATGTATACTAAGCTGATCTTCTGTATATTAAGATAATCGAAAATGAATCTTGATGTGAGTGGAAGGGGAGAGGGAGTGGGAAAGGGGAGGGTTGTGGGTGGGAGGGACGGTATGGGGGGGAAGCCATTGTAATCCATAAGTCGTACTTTGGAAAATTATATGCATTAAATAAAAGTTTAAAAAAAAAAAAACTAAAAGCAGACACAATTAAAAGGTTAGAGACCAGTTTGAAATAAATATTAACATTAAAGTTATATAACCTGATGAGACATCTAAAAACACACTTTTTCCTCTCCACAGGCAGCTAACACGGAATGAAAAAATTATTTCCTGGAGAATGAAAAAAACTTGTAGCCAAGAATATTACTAACAATTTGGTTGTTAGTGTCGCTCAAATAGTTTAATTGATTGAACTCCTAAAAATGCTTGAGTGTTAACCTATTTTATTGTAAAATTTGTATCAGCTTTTCAAATCACTGTGTTTTAGGTCTGGAAAAAAGAGAATTAAATCTATAGCTAATAAAATTATTTTTCAGCATAACAAAGTCATTTCACTTTGTACCCCAAATATGACTCAAAATAAGTCTGTGGGTTCTTTTCAAGACTCATTATGGAATACCAGGTAAGCAGAGGAACCTTACTGTCATTTTAACTACTTATGTGCAAGAGTCACTGTGATTTTGATTTGCTTTGCTCTTCCTCATTTTGTTCCTGTTCTGTGGTTTCCATGGTGAGTCCTGTAATGCAGGTAGAGTAATCCTATCTTCCTTAGAATCAAAGAGTTCTAGAAGTCAGGCCATCCCAGTGGTCTCTTAAATCCAATCAAAGCAAGGAGAGGCAAGAGATCTAGTATAGACAAGCTTCCAAAATCAAAAAGAAAAAACTGGGTTAAAAGATTCAATGAGTTTTATTCTCAGAATTAAGCACATCATTTTGTTAAGAGAAGAAAAAATAGCTCTGGGGAGACTTTTCTGCTGTCATAACTCCGATTTGCATGGGGTATTGCAGTTTACAAAGCTTTTTCACAGATAATTTCATTTTAATTTGTTGGGTGTCTGCCTATTTTTCTGTCAGATTTGAGAGCTCCCTTGCGATCAATCCTGAGCTGAAGCTCAAGGCCGGCTATAAACACAACTAGGGCAGTGGTGAGTGTGCTGTCTTGGATGAAACAGAACAGAGGCCAGTAATGGAAGTCAGAGAAGGCACTTGCTCTCACTAGCTGTCTAGCACCATCTCAGAGCCAGACCATTAGAGATAACATCAGCGTGCGACTCTACTATATTGGATGTGAGTATTCCTGACTCAATCATTTCCTGGGAGACAATATTACTCTTTAAGTTTGGTGGCTAAAACCATGTATGTCATCTTTACCAGGATTGCTTTCAAGTTTTTCCAAACGGAATTCTTATTGAAAAACTTCTTTGCTGTCAACATCCAAGAAATGAAATAGAAACGATTGATCTCCATGGATTCACTTTTGAAATATTGATAAGTTGAAGCCAAATGCTTCGCGTTGTGAAAGTAGCTAACACTCTTGTTTGTAAAATTCAAATAAGCATTTCCTAATCATTTGTGTAGATCCAGTTTCGCTTCATAATTTCCAGACTGCCACCTGGATGCGTTCAGGGGGTTTCTGACACACTTGAGCTAATTTTCAAGGTTCCTCCTTTGTCTCTGGGCTTCTCTTTTATTCCCCTGGGACTCTCTGCCTCAAATTATTTTATCTGAAGCTATGTCTGAACCTGAATAGATGAAGGGAGAACCGAGGCAATTATATTACTAATTCAAGCATAAGACAGGAAAAAAAAAAAAAAAGCACTCTGCTTGACTTACTTGGAGATTTCTGGCAAACATCTTTTTCTGTTTCAATGATCTGGAAGATTGCCCAACTTCTTTTCTTTTGGGGGTGGGAGTGGAGGTGAAGAGCTGGCCTGGGTCACATGGCTGCCTCATTTCCTGCTGCCTCAGAATGCGTCTATTCTAGGAAGGCTCAGACGTGACGGGGAGGTTGGCTGCTTCTGAGATGCAGTACTTAAGATATATGAAGACTGAGACTGATATTTTAAGTTCTTCACTGATCTAGGGGTCTGGTACGCAGTCACGGTAAGCTGGACAACTGCCATGCTGACTTACTGGTTCACTCATTCATTATTTGCATGCTTGCTCAGTCCTGAGGCTATGAGGGTGACTGTGTTTTGGCACTGGCTCTTGAAGAGCGCAAAGAAGACACATTAAAAAGCAGGTACAATGTAATGAAGTAAGTTTGAACAGTGATTCCATTGTGGGCAAAAGCATATACCCTTTAAAAGTTTCAAAGAGATGGAAGCAGAAGCCACAAAAGCAATTTGTCTCAGACATATTTCTCTACTTATCTTGTTTGATTTTTTTTTTTCCCTGTGCAGTCCTCCTTTAAGAATGATGTAAACCAGTCTCACTGGAGATTCATTTGCTGTCTTCTCTTGCAGATGCCTGGTCTCTGGGAGTTCTGGGTAGGCCTTTTAGACAGATCAGGGTCTGGCACAGGTTTGTCACGTTTGTTCTGCTGAGGGCTCTCCCTGGCAGATGGCAACAGCTGTTTGTGATTGAGTCTAAGAAACTACAGGAGGAGCCCTGCAAAATGTCCTTTTTATTACACTAATGGCTTTTTCCCTGAGAGTGGTTTTTCATTGTATCAGTGCATAATTGTTTTTGCTAATGCGTTTGCTCCAATCATACAAAAATCTAATTACTCTATGTAATGAATCATTAACAATTGCCTTAAATTCCTTTCAGTGTTTGCATGCTGGTATTCAGTTTATGCTAATAAATCTGAAATATTCATGGCTTTCACTCTGAGACTGCAGATGATGTCCAAAAAATTGTCTTAGAAAATATGCATTTTTAATTTGTATTTTGTAAAATACTGAAGTATAAACTGCAAGATTATTCTGGAAATACAATATTTTAATTTTCTATTCATTTTTTTAAGCAGAGTTTTTTAAAAAAATCTACTTCACACCCCACATTCACTTAGCTACAACAAAATAGCACGTGGTCATTTTTAACTGGAGAGCATTAATTGGTGTTTGGTAATGAAAGAAGATCAAAAGGGACTGATGTCACACTTTTTAACTTTGATTTATCCATATTGAGATTCAGCCTCTGATCCATTTGCTGAAATTCGTATTAGGACTGAGTACCTTATTACTAATTTTTTAGTCAAAGAAGGGAAAATTAAACCTTGAATCTAACCCTAAATGTATAGCACGATTAGAGATTTTCTACAGTACTGCTTTTACTATTATTACTGTTGTTATTAAACGTATACTATGTTCTAAGTGTCCACTGTTCTGCTAAGTGCTTAATGTTCACCATTTCACTTCATCTTCCCTCAAAGCCTATGAGGTCAGGATTTTATTACCCTCGTTTCACAGATGAGATTTAGGGAAGTGAAGCAAACTTGCCCAAGGTTATTCAGTGCTCTGCAGCGGTTCTCAACTGAGGGCGATTTCACCTCCTTGGGGCCATTTGGCAATGCTTGGAAGAGTTTTCCTTGTCACAGTGGGCTGGGGGCAGCTGGCACACAGTGAGGGAAGGCCAGGGATGGGACTTCACTTCTTCCAAGGCACAAGGCAGCCTCCCCACTCCCCCCACTCCCAACAGAGAGGGATCCGGTCCAAAGCATCAACAGTACTGGGGATGAGGAATGGTTGTGCAGCAGCTGTGTGTGATGCCCACATCACAACCCTTTGGGCTACGGATTTCAGAGCAGCTGTGCCAGACAGCTGTGTTGGACAGCTGTGGGGACCATGGGGTGTGATTGCTAGGGTCTCAGTGAAAACACTGTGTAATAGGGCTTTGCTTTTGGCCTGAGGGCTTTCTCTGAAACACCTGTGCAGGTGCAGCCTGAGCTTGTGTGAGGTTATCACCTGGAGGTGAGGGTAACCTTCAGACAGCCTTCTACCTCCTTGCTCTTAGATGGGGCCATCATGTGGGCATTCTACCACAATGCTTCTGTGCGTCCCCAGAGGGACTGAATCTTGGTTTTGTACTGTGGTAAGCCATGGGCACAGCTGGCACCAACGGGCTTACTGCCTTCTCACACTGGTCAAGGGTTTTTGGCCTCCTGCAATCCCAGGCTGAGCCTGTTGCTGGGGCTTTCAAGAGAGCTTCAGAATGGGAAAACAGAGAGACACTACCACATGAGCTCGAAGGGGCAGCTGGCAACTACAGAAAACCATCTACCATAGCTAACCAAACCTCTAATGTCTGTTTGATTCGTGTTTATCCCTTCCTTATCTTGTACCCCACTCTTTCTCTCTTCTTCCTAGCCTTGCCTCATGAATAAACTACCTGTACCTCAGCCCCTATTTTAGACTCTGCTTTCAAGAGAACTCAAACTAAGATACAAAGTTAATAAGTCTGCTGTATTGTATTGTAAATCCAAGTAACAGAACCAAAGACTGAGTGGCAGTCCATGAACACCCTGTGGCTGAGGATTCCCTCTGCACTCTAAATTCCATGGGCGAATGTTAAATCTTGCTTGATCAGGACTCTCAATTCTCTCGACAGTTATCTTTGTCCTAATCCACTAACACAACCTCAGTGATCGAGCGAAGGGCCAGGTTGACCAGGTCTGTGGCAGATTTACACTGAGAATTTCCATTTAACCTTTGTTGCTGTTTGGAAATCTTTCATGAATCTTTTAACACCTTCTTCACATACTCATCCTTCCTTTTAAGTCCCAAACCTGGCTTGGTCAGCCCTCTTTCTGCACGATCCCGTGTGAATTTGACATTGAATTCTGATTATATAACATTTACTACTTCTTCAGCCATCCAACAGCTCTTTGTTTTCTTTGCGCTCTTAACATTCCTGTTCCCTCCAGTCTGAGGACAAGACTCACCATCCGTCCTTTTCCTCTACTCACTTGTTGGTTGAGCTCATTCACTTCTATATGGATGGCATCTAATTTTCTGATTTTAGTTCTGAATCCCTGAGTCCCAGGGCCACTCTTCACAATCCTCTCTCAAAATCACATAAGCTCAACTCTCACCATGCAACAGGTATCTCTTACCTGTCATATTGTTCAATAGCTAGAAACCTTGAACTCATCTTTAACATTTTTTTCATTGCTTACTATTATGGAAGACATTGTTGGCTGTGCACTCAACATTCTTCTTCTCTTAAAGAAATACCACTTTTGGTATAATGTTGAATCTTCTCCTAGGCACCCATGTGGCTTGGAAGAAGTTGAACTCCCTTCCAAGTCTAGGGAAGTATTAGAATAGACTAAGGGGCAACTCATTCTTCTTACCACAATGGTTCAGCAATTGGCATACAAACCAGTTCAGGTCACTGAGATTCAAGGCATCCATTTGTTGGTGATTCAGAAGAAACTGTTCTCTGCTATTCTCTCTGGATATCTCTGGAGGTCTCTCTCTCTCTCTCTCTCTCCTTGTGTTTCTCAGGTTGCATTCATAGATGGATTTGATGGGACTGAAGTCATTATGTCAGTACCACCTGAGAATGAGACCAGCAAATGGAGCAGTGCTGAGCCACATGATTCTCAAGGAAATGGAATTATTAAAATTGGATTTCAGCTGCCCCAAAGGATGTTCTGTCTATGGATAGCCAGCAATGGGAGTCAATATTTTTCCTTGTTGTTGATGGTTCCTGTTACTGGCAGTCAATGACTCTTAGTGAGAAAATGCTCTGTCTTGTTGCCTTTGAAAGCAGCCTCTGTCTTGCCATTTTCCCCACTACAATTGCATCCTTTTAATCCGCATGCAATTGCTGAGAGTTGGCTGGCTAATCTGCAGTCTCGCATTCTCTCCTCTTCCTAATTTGTCTTTTGTACTGTTGTCAGGTGTGTTTCCTGAAAGACAATTTTCAAGAGGTCCTTCTACTTCATAAATTCTTATAATGGCTTCTTTTTTTGCTTTCAGTTTTTAGTGCAAACTTCCGAGATTTGTTTTCAAGTCTTTTCATAATTGGATTCATATACATGTATATATATATATATTCATGTATATATATTCAATATGATTCTCTCTGTTCTCCAGTGTATAACTATAATATTTCTTCCTGATGCTATCTTAACTGAAAAGTATTTGCCCTGTGCAAATTCAGTGCATGCTGCAAAGGTTTTTATTCTTGTTCTAGGTTCTTCACAGACTCCTCCTGAATACAGTTGGCCTTTATTCATTCAGTCTGTACTAAACGCATATTGTGTGCCAAATACTCAACAAAGCAGTAGAGCTATAAAGGCAAATGATCACAGTCCCTCTTATGGCCGGGATTCAGCAGTTAGAGGCATGAATTCTTAACGTTTTTAAGCAAATCTCTCACACAAATTTCATATATATCATAAAACTGAATTTGTAGGGTTTAATTTTTAAGATACCAAGGCTATTTCAATTAATGTACAGCTTAAAATCAGAGTATATAGATGAATGTGGTGGTCTTATTCTTAGCCTCAAAGTAAAATATATCACTGTGTTTTATTCTGGTTACTTAATAGTAAGAAAATTAGGATTCATACAATCAAATAGCTGTATTATGTTAACAATCTTTAGCAGCTCACCTTGCAATCTCAAAATTCTCTTATGTTAAACAGAAGCAACAGGAAAAAACATTGGGACATTTCCATAAAATGATTTTACATGGCATAAGTTAAAATGGTTTTTAGTTTGATAACTTTGATGTATATGTTTGAATCAAATCATTTCTTCATCCAACATATAGTTACTTACCATGTTTACTACATGCAAAGCTTTAGTGTAGATCGTGTATTCTCAATCTGGTGATATTATGCCAAGGAGACAAATATTGATTATTGAGGGAAAAACATTTTAGATATTGCAATGGCCCTCCAAACATAAACAGATATGTTTGTGTATGTGTGTATATATAAATGTGTGTGTGTGTGTGTGTGTGTATAGAGAGAGAGGGAGAGATAAAATTTCATGAGGGATTATTAGTAAAAAAAATATTTCAGCCAACTCTTAGATGAGAAATAATAAGAAAAGGTTGAGGAGCACTGTTTTAGATGTGGGGTGAACAGATGTGAACACCCTGGGGAAGAAAGTGCTGACATTCTCATGGGGAGGTAAGCGCACAATAATCATGGCAAATAAGCAAAACATATCATGGGTTTAAAAAGCAGTGCAGACAAGGAGAAAAGTAAACTAAGGAAAGGAGACAGGATGCCGACATGTGGGAGGAGGTAGCATTGACACTAGCCAAAGCGACCATGGACGTCTGAGTGAGGGAGTGAGTGTGGAGGAGCTCATCAGCAGACTGTGCAAAGGCACTGGGGAGAGAGCAGAGCTGGCTCACCTGAGGAGCAGCAGGCCATAGTGGAAGGAGAGGACTGGAGGAAGGAAACAAGGGCCGTGCCATAGAGCTCACAGGGTCCAGCTCAGAAAGAGCCATGTAAGGACTCTTTTTTTTTTTTTTTTTTTAGATTTACTTATTTGAAAGACAGAGTTATAGTGAGGTAGAGGCAAAGAGAGATGGGGGGAGAGATTAGAGAGAGAGAGAGAGAGAGAGAGAGAAAGTCTTCCATCGGCTCTTTCACTTCCCAAATGGCTGCAATGGCTAGAGCTGGGCCAATCCGAGGCCAGGAGCTGGGAGCCTCTTCCAGGTCTCCCACGTTGGGTGCAGGAGCCTAAGCACTTGGGCCACCTTCCACTGCTTTCCCAGGTGCATTATCAGGGAGCTGGATCAGAAGTGGAGTGGCTGGAACTCGAACTGGCGCCCATATGGGATGCTGGTGCCACACTGCACCAGCCCCAAGCACTTTTTTTTTTAAGATTTATTTATTTATTTGAAAGTCAGAGTTACACAAAGAGAGGAGAGGCAGAGAGAGAGAGAGGTCTTCCATCCGATGGTTCACTCCCCAATTTGCTGCAATGGCCAGAGCTGTGCCATTCCAAAACCAGGAGCCAGGAGCTTCTTCCAGGTCCCCCACACAAGTGCAGGGGCCCAAGGACTTTGTCCATCTTCTTCTGTTTTTCCAGGCCACAGCAGAGAGCTGGATTGGAAGTGGAGCAGCTGGGACTTGAACTGGCAACCATATGGGATGCTGGTGCTTCAGGCCAGGGCGTTAACCTGCTGCGCTACAGCACCAGCCCCCCAAGGACTTTGGTTTTAACTCTCATGAGAAGTCACAGGGGTGCTCTGAGGACAAAATGAGATGAGGATACTTCATTTGTTCCTGGAATTTAAAAAGTTTATTTTGCTGAAAATCTTTTGAAGTTCACACATAATTTTTTCATAATATGCATTTTCCTTGAACTTAAAAAATGATCTTGTTTATTTTCTGTACAGGCAAACAGAGAAAGCAAGTCAACTCCCATCCACGGTCCACTCTCCCAGTGCCCACAATAGCTAGGGCTGGACCATGCTGAAGCAGGAGCCAGGAACTCTGTTTGGTTCTCCCACATGGGTGTCAGAGACCCAAGTACTTGCTCCATTGCTCACTGCACCCCAGGAGCTGCATTAGTAGGAAGTTGGAGTCAGGAGCTGGAGCCAGGCACTAAACCCTGGTATGAAACTAGAGCGTCTTAACTCATGTGTCTTAACTGCTAGGCCCTCTTCTGAGAACTTTTTTTTTCCTTTTAACATTTATTTATTTATTTGAAAGTGTTAAAGAGAATGAGAAATGGAGGCAGAGAGAGATAGTGAGAGAGAGCCTCCACTTGCTGGTTCACTCTCCAAATGGCCACAACGGCCAGGGCTGAGCCAGGCTGAAGCCAGGAGCCAGGAGATACATCTGGGTGTCCCATGTGGGAGCTGAATTGGAAGTGGATCAGCCGGAACTCGAGCTGGTGCCACAAGGGATGCCAGTGCTGCATGTGGCAGCTCCACAGCGCTGGCCCTTCTATGAGCTTTTTCAAGACCTGTTTTATAATCTGATTTACATCTTTACCAGGTCGTTCTCACCACTACACTGAGAACGGTTTGTACAAAGCAAAGGGGACAGTCTACTTGAACTTCGGAAACGAAATACCACAGCCTGGATGGCTTCAACAACAGATTCTTGTTTCTCACAGTTGTGGAGGCCGAGGATATCATACCCAGGTGTCAGCAAGGTAAACTTCCTGCAGAGCCTTCTTCTCTTCCCTTGTAGGTAGCTCACAGGGCCTCTTCCTGGTTGGTGTGCATGGGGAATGGAGGGTAGCGGTGGGAGAGAGAAGAGTGGGAAAGCAATGTTGTCAGGGGGTGGGTGGGTGGGGAGACAGAGAGAACAGGTGCAAGCTCTCTGTGTCTCTTCTTAGAAGAGCATTGTACCTATTCCCCACCCTCAGGAACACCTTGAATCCTATTTACTTCCCAGAGTCTCCATCTCCAAATACCTCTACAACAGGGGTTAGGGCTTGAACTTGAGCATTTTAGGAGTCACATTCATTTGGTCTGTAACAGGAGGCTACTGCAATGGTCCAGGTGACATGGTGTGGTAGGGAAGGACAGAAGTGCTAGGACTTCATGTCACCTTAAAGCTAGAATATTCAGGCTGTGCTGATTGATCTGTTATGGAGGATGCAAGAAAGACAGTCAACACTGTCTAAGGGCTTCAGATATACATGGTAACATCATTATTTTTCTGTAGTTTGCAACGTCGAGAAGTTGAATAGAATACATCAAAGCACTTAGGATTTTTGAAAGGCTCTAAGTTAATGTATCTCCATTTGTCAATTAATATGGGGGCATTTGAAATGTAATTAAATGTTTTTGTATAACACAGTGACTGGGGACAACTGGCATTTAAAGGCCAGGGGCAGGGATGTCAACAGTGTTCAATGCATGGAATAGAGCTGCACAAATGAAGAACTCTACCGAGACTCACCAGTGGAGCTGCTCTTATGTATTTTTTTTTCCATCTTAATTTGTTGTTACCTGTTGCAAGTGCAGAAAACAGAGCCTTTCTCCGGCACTCATTTCAGGCACAGTTCCCCCAGCTAAGCTGCAGAGATCTTCTTGGCAGAGGTTATCTCACAGAATATCTTTGTCCAACAGTGAAGAGCAGAAAATGCCTTTATTTTGATAACAGGAGGCTTATAACATTTCTTGACTAGAGTAAATGCTGGTCTTCTCATAGCCATCACTTTGCCATTTCTCCTAAATTCATATATTTTAAAAATATTTATTTGATAGGTGGAAAAGAAAGAGAGAGCTGTCTTCCATCTGCTGGTTCACTCCCCAAATGGCTGCAACATCTGAAGCTGGACTGATCCGAAGCCAGGATCCAGGAGATTTTCTGGGTCTCTCACATGGGTAGCAGGGGCCCAAGCACTTGGGCCCTCTTCCATTGCTTTCTGATGCCATTAGCAGGGAGCTGGATTGGAAATGTAGCAGCCAGGACTCCAACTGGTGGCCAACTGGTGCCACAGGCAGAGGCTTAAACTACCACAGCACAGCCCCAGCCTCACTAAACTAATAACTTGTTAACAGAATGTGAACTTACCAAATCAATGAAAAGGATATTTTCTTAGTCATAACATAAGCCTAACTCTGTAATATATATTTCTCAATATTCTTTTGTAACTTTTGTTGATGTGTTGTTGAGTTTTTAAAAACAAAGACATTACCTTTTGAGAGCAGATTTAGATTCACAGAAAAATTGAGATGAAGGTACAGAGGCTTCCTATATATTTCTTATTTCACACATGCATAGTTGTGCCCTTATCAACATTCTCATTACAATGGGTTTGTCACAATTGATGAATTTATACTTACACATCACTATCACCCAAAGTCCCATAGTTTACATGGGTTCACCCTTGGTGTTGCATCTTCTGTGGGTTTGGACAATGTATGATGACATGTATCCACCATGATGGTTTTATTCAGGGTAGTTTCACAGCTCCTAAAATCCCCAATTTTCTGCCTATTCATTCTCCCCTTCCCTCCACCACCGTAATCACTGATCTTTTGTATTGTCTCCATAGTTCTGCATTTCTAGCTATTTTATTAGAATAATAATTATGATTTTATTCCTTTAGAATACTGTATAAATACTGTATTTTACAATGTTTCTATATAAGGATCACAGTTTTTTAAATCACTGCATATAGCCCGTCATCATTTCCAATAACTTCTCCCTTTTTAGTTTGACAATTTGCTTCTAATTTTTCATGAGTTACGTGTAACATTTCCATCTTGTCTTTCTGCAATTGATTTTTCCCATCTTCTATTAAATATCCCTCCCCTGCCAGTTATTGTCTATTTACTTGGTGTCTGGCTATTGTGATTTATGTATGTATGCTAGTGTCAATTCACCTATTCACTTTGTGTCTGAGTAATGATAATTGCTTGATTTTTTTCAGGCTTCCTTCAACATTCACATTTATGGCTTCCAGTAACTTCTGATCCCATGCTGCTCCACAAGCATTTGCTACAGTGTGAAGCACAGGTGGGCAATGAATTGAATGTTTCATAGTAAGAGGAAAGACATATTCCAGAAATGTTTTAAAGATAAAAGTCATGTATTTCTTTTTTTTGATAAAATAAAAATTATTGGATACTGGCATTGTGGCATAGGAAAGCCTTGCAATGCCAATGTACCACATGGGAGCTGGTTCATGTCCTGTCTGCTTCCTGATCCCTGCTAATGGCCTGGGAAAAGCAGCAGAGGGTGACCCAAGTGCTTGGGTCCCTTCTATTCATATGGGATATCTGGATGAAATTCCTGGCTCCTGGCTTCAGCCCTGGCCATTACAGCCATCTGGAAAGTGAATAAGTAGATGGAAGAACTCTCTGCTTGTCTCTCCCTCTGTAACTCTGACTTTCAAATAAAAAAATAAATCTTTAAAACAATCAAAATAAAAATTATAGTAAATGCTTTCCCAAGATACCCATGGATTAACAAAAAACAGCTGAATATATTGCTTTCAATATTGAAGAAAAACAAACTTATCAACAGCAACCTCACACCACTTATACTCCTAAATTGCTATATGCTTTTATAGAAGATAGCAAAATTCTTCAGTGCAAATGATTGTTGTAGCTCTTGACATATTAAGCCCAGCAAAGCTAAGATTCCACATAGACACTGGATAAATTTGATGACAGAAACTCAAAGAAGCCAGTGAAAGTAAGAGAACTTCGTCTGTGCTTACACAATCTACAGAAATGAACTTTATAATGTGATAAATGGAATAGAAAACTCTACTTACAATTCAACAACACAAACAAAATGGTTAGGGATAAGTATGGGAAATGGGCAAGATCTACATAAAGAACATTTTTAAATACTATTGAAAAAGACAATACTGAAATAAGTGGAAAGGTATAGCATTTCTTGGGTGAGAAAAATCAGCATCATTAAAAATGAGTTTCAATAAAAATATCAACGGTTTTTATTTTGGAATCATTTAAGTTGATGATAAAGTTCAAATGGAAATGTAAAAAATAAGAATGGTCAAGAAAAATCAGAAATAGAAGCCATAAAGAAGACTAGCTTTGAGAGACAGAGAGAGAGAGAGAGAGAGAGAGAGATTTTTCATCTGCGAGCATCCTCAAATGCTCGCAATAGTCAGAAGGGCTGGGATAGCCTGAGGGGAGGAGGCAGGAACTCAATCTGGGTTTCCCAAGTGGGTACAGAATCCCTAGTATTTTGGCCATCACCTGTTTCCACCCAGGAGGCACATCAGCAGAAAGCTGGAAGCAGAAGTGGGGCTTGAGTGGAACTCAGACTCTCTGATATGGGATGCAGGTGTTCCAAGGGGCATCTTTACTGTGCCAAATGCCCACCTCAAGTTGAGTTTCAGGTGTTTTGTTTCTTATGCCCTTGTACTCCTTTCTGCTTTTTGGATCATTTTCAGAAAGAGAAGAACTCACTTAATGTCACTAAATTGCAAAAGGAGATCCTACATTTCTCTATTTCATGCCCACATGTTTTATTACATGAGTACAAATTGAATCCAGATTTCTTGCACTTGCTAGTCATATTTATTTCTGCCACATCCTATTGGTCAAAGCAAGTCATAAGGTAAGCTCATTTCAAGACTGGGAAAACAGAATCCAGCTTTCACAAAGAATTGCAAAGAATTTTTGGACACATTTAAACTATCAAAGACACTCTCTTCTACTCCCTGTTCTTTCCCACTTCCCTAGCTCTTTCTGTATGTCCACTGTTGGAAGATATATGATCCGTAACTTGATAGGAAAAATAGAGGATCTTATGCAGAAATGACTTCCCTTTCTTGCTCCCACTTGACGATTTATTACAGATTGTGTTTCTTCATTTCCACCAAATCAGCTGCTCTGATACCTGTTCTTCCCCTCTGCAATCCATGCTCAGTGACTTTGCAGCTCCTCCTGAAAAAAGTTGATACCTTCATCCTGTTGCTTAATCATTTCCCCTACTATTTCCTCAGGGACCTTACATCATCACTGAAACATCTGACTTTTTAAAAACCTTGTTGTAAAGATACTGGCATCTTTTCCATCTTTTGGGGAAAAAAAAAACTCGCAGTTTCTACTCTGTCTTTTGCTTGTAGTTATATGAAAATATTTTCAGACATGTGTCAATTTATTGTGTTTTTCCCTGTACTTTCTCATCCCATCTCAATCCATATTATCTGGCTTCTACACTAATTCTCCCAAAGTACAAATAGCTTTCACCAAGGTCATCCTTGACTTCTTAGATGATTAATGGATTTGCTTGAATTATCACTGGCTGCTCCTTTACATGTCCTTCACTAATTTTTTTTGTCTACTCATGTCTTAAATATTGGTTTACGTGATCAAATTTTCCTATGCCTGAGACAGCATGACATCACGCTGGATGATCTCATATAGCCCGTGGAACTAACTATTATGATGGTCATTTCATCTCTTATTTTCTCTAGATTCATATCCAATTTCCATGTGATGTTTCCTCCTTGAAATTCCATCAGCAATGTTCAAGTATATTTTAAAAAAATTCACAGAAAATTGGAATTAAGATTTTTAAAGAATAAAGTTTTTTAAGATTAATTAATTAATTAATTAACTAATTTTAAAGGCAGAGTTACAGAAAGGGAAAGAGGGAGACGGAGAGAGAGAGAGAGAGAGAGAGAGAGAGAGAGACCTTCCGGTCATTCTCCAAATGGCTGCGATGACTGGGGATGGTTCTGGTCAAGGCCAGGAGCCTGGAATTCCAACCAGTTCTCCCACATTGGTGCAGAGGCCCAAGGATTTGAGCTGTCTTCCTCTGCTTTCCCAGGTGCATTAGCATGGAGCTGGATCAGAAGTGGAGAAGCTTAGACTTGAACCGGCTCTCTGATGTGGGTGCAGGTGTCCCAAATGGCAGCTTAACACACTGTACTGCAATGCTCACTTCTGAATCTAGTTTCTGACTTCAAGAGGCAAGCAATTTATGCACAAAGAAGAGACTTATATACAAGAAAACATTTTACAATGCTGTTGTGAATTTGGGGATTGGATGAATCAGAAATAGTTTTGCGTGGTGCTCTAAGGGTTTAGCACATAATGCTACATTGGTGCTGGGAGGGAAGTACCATTATGTGGGCTTGGCCCTTAGGGCTTGCATTTAAGAGATTTTAGAGACAAAAAATAATTTTAATTTTAAGATAAAGATAGTATTCACTCTTATTAATAAGATGTTATACAGAGAATAGAATCTAATCAATCTAGCCTTATGACAACATTGAAAAAGGTAAGCAAATGAAATATGTGAAAGTAGTGTCATTTGTTGTTCTCAGTTACAGTAAGTTTACTCTGACCTAATCATCTAGGCATATATTTGAGTAGGATGGTTTATTAATGATCAACATTTACTAAATTACAGATGGAGTTAAAACATTTCCAGAGGTTTCCACTAAAGTCGTTCTATTTCAGCTGCTTCCTGTTGAGTTAGATCTTCATTGACTGAAAGTACAAATATCTATGTTATTTATCATCAAATGAATGCAAGAAGCAGCAAGTATAATAGTAGTTGAGAGAAATTTTATAAATAATTTCTTAATTCCAGATTGATACTGCCTTTCTATTCATTGTACTTTTTGAATATATATGCTGGAAACATTTTGTGAGCCCATAGAGGTCAGGGAAAATCTGTTAGAAATATGAGGCTTGGGGCCAATGCTGTGGTGTAGCAGATAAAGCCACCTCCTACAGTGCCAGCATCCTATATTGGCACAGGTTTGAGTCTTGGCTGTTCCACTTCCGATCCAGCTCTCCACTTTGGCCTGGGAAAGCAGTAGAAGATGGCCCAAGTCCTTGGGCCCCTGCACCCATGTTGGAGACCTGGAAGAAGCTCCTGGCTCCTGGCTTTGGATCCGCTCAGCTCTGGCCATTGTGGCCAACTGGGGAGTGAACCAATGGATGGAAGACCTCTCTCTGCCTCTTCTTTTGTGTGACTCTTTCAAATAAATAATAAATAAATCTTTATAAAAAAATATGAGGCTTGAGTTCAGTTGTGAAGCATGACAAGGATTTGCATATTATGGATGTATACAGAGTGATGAGGTCATTAGTGAGTAGGGAATATTGAACAAGGGGGAGGGGAGAGGAAGTGTGTCTGGCATATTAGGATGATAGTAAAATCCCAGTTCAGTTGAGGAGTATTAAAATAATGCAACAACAGGAGAATGGGTGGGGAAAGGTAAAATTAAGGAAAAGGAATTTCTATTGAAAATTTCTGAGTGAAAGAAAATTGTGGGGTCTGGCGCCGTAGCTCACTTGGTTAATCCTCTGCTTGCTGCGCTGGCATCCCATATGGGCGCCGGGTTCCAGTCCTGGTTGCTCCTCTTCCAGTCCAGCTCTCTTCTGTGGCCTGGGAGGGCAGTGGAAGATGGCCCAGGTGGTTGGGCCCCTGCACCTGCATGGGAGACCGGGAGGAAGAACCTGGCTCCTGGCTTTGGATCAGTGCAGTACTGGCCATAGTGGCCATTTGGAGGGTGAACCAACGGAAGGAAGACCTTTCTCTCTGTCTCTCTCTCTCACTGTCTATAATTCTACCTGTCAAAAAAATAAAAAAAGAAAACTATGAAAGAAGTATCTGGAAAGACAACTTTGATAGTCATGTGTAGGCTGGATACAGGAAGAGATGTTGAAGTCGATAAGAGTAGATATGATGGTCAATCATTTCCCAAGAATCTGGCTGTGAGGGAGGCAATGGAAGTGAAAAGCAGCAGGGGATTTTCAAGATGTTATGAATCATCAATTTCCAGAATTTAAAGATAGGATGTGGAAGTCAGGAGAAAATGATTGAAGAGTTAGAGAATTAGTAGTCTGATGGTTGGGGAGAAGACTCATCCTACTCACAGATGTGAACTCAGGACAATCAATTTTAAAGACAAAATAAATCCAGTTGCAGATACATTGACTCTGAGCAATGAAATACACATATTAAATTACCACTTGTGTACTGTAGCCCAGGGGAGACAACCAGGGCCTGAGAAAAAGATTTGAAAACTTTTCCCATGGAAGAGATGATTTGAGATGGGGTGGATATACCAATGAAATGAAAAGATTCTGCACAATGAACCTGCATAAACAGATCAGAGAAGGAACAAGGACAAGGAACCTGAGAGAGTTATCTGAAAAAATAGTAGAAAAGTGAAAATGGAACCAGGATTTGGAGGGTTAAGTGGGGGAAAAATGACTTAATAGTGCCAAGCGCTTGTCCAGCATTTTCCAAGCATCCTTGGAATTGTCACAATTATATCTGTATTAATTTACATGTATTGCTACATGATAAATATTCAAAGCCAAAAATAAACATCTGCTCTATCACACAGTTTCTTTGGATTAGGAATTCAGGAGTGGGTTAGCCACATGGCTCTGGTTCAGGGTATTCCATGAGGTTGCAAACAAGGGGGCAGCTGAGGCTGGAGTTACTGGAAAGATTGTGTGGGGCTGGAGGCTTTGCTTCCAAGATGGATCACACACTTGAAATTGCTGAACGTTGATGCTGGCTGTTGGTATTAGGTCATGGTTATTCCTCACATGGGTCTCTCCTTATGCCACGTAAGTGCTTGTAGCAAGGTAGTGGGCTTCTTCCAGGGTAAATCATCCAAGAAAACAGGAGAAAAACAACAATGTCTTCTATGACCTAACCTAAGAAATATCATTCTATCATTTCTGCAATATCCTACTGCTACAATATGGGGAGGGGACTGAATAAATGTATGGAAACCAGGAAGTAAGGATTATCCCTGGGAGGTTGCCCCCACAGCATGCCTCTTCCTGCAGACAGTCAGGAATTTAAGACAAATCTAGGCTTTTTTATAAAAGTTGATCAACTTCTAAGAAATCAAATTGATGGAAAATATCGTGAGATAACGAGAATAATATATCTTTTATAATGAATTCTTGTCTTCTTTCCAGTCCATTAGATTTCATTGTCAATACAAGCCCTGGAAGTTGTAACTTGGATTGCAGTATTATGAAATAATTGGAGAAATCCACAGGGTCAGTAACTATATGCCAAAACTGTCCTTCTTAATGAGACATTTAATGTAAAGCAGATGGATTAGTGATGTTTTCAGGCTCATTTGTTGAGCATTAATGCTTGCTTTCCTTGTCTTCTTAACAGCATGTCTGTATCTGCTTTAAAGAGGCATTGGTTGTTAAAATTTAATTGTAATTTTATGTTTATCCTTTTATTGTTTTTACAGTCTCTTTAGGTATAAGTAGCTAAGGTCTCCATTAGTGAATTAATTAGACTAATATTTAGTGAAAACAATGATGACAGTTTCAAAATAGGCACAATTCTCAAATTTGAATGAGTAGAATAATTGCCTAAGAAGTTTGTTTACAAATACAGTTTTCAGGGTTCCATCCACAGGAAAAAATTCATTTAGGCTGGTAATAGGACCTCAGAACCAGAATTGTGAACAAATAGTTGATCACTCTGACATAGGTGCTCCACAGGTGATAGCAAGCTGCCTGCAAAACTTTCACAAATTATGTTAATGTTAATATGTTGATATCCAGCACCTTGGAGAATAACTTGAGAAGTGAAAGATTTTTAAGAAAAGGAGCTACTAAACATTAATTCTTTAACGTTCTTTAGACAAATATATAAGAGAAGACTATAGCTTTGTCTGGTTAGTAATAAATGGTGAATAAGGAAAAGCTACCACACAGAGCAGCTAGTTACTGAGGTAATAACATTTGCTGCCTCACTTGACTGTGGGGATTTAATGGCTTAACGTGGATGAAATGTTTGGAAGAGTAATAGGCACCTAGTACAATCTCAATAAAACATTGCCATTGGATATGATGAAACTATAAATTTTACAAAAATTCAGACTCTACCAGAGCATATACTATTCTCTTGGAAATACTGGTTAAAGGTTACGATCCTTGATTAGTGAATTGGAGCTAAATGTGGATACTGGTTCCCACTGTGTTTATAGTATGAACAGTTCGCTATATATAAATACAAAATATAAAATTCTTTTCCAATTTTTAAATTTTTATAAACTAAACAAATTTTATATATTTAATGTATACAGATTTAGGAGCATAGTGATTCTTTCCAATTCATTCTCACACCCTCCTACATTCCCTCCTCTTTCCTTCTTTATTCTTTTAATTTATACAATGACATACTTTATTTTATAATCCCAAGCTTAGTCATCCACTAAGAAAATAATTCAACAAATAGCAGGAAGCAAAAAACACCATTCCTCAAAAGTAGAGACAAGGGCTGTAAATAATAATCAAATCTCAAAATGCCAATTTCATTCATATACATTATATTTTTATACTCTATTAGTAACCACAGATCAGAGAAAACATTTGATATTTGTCTTTTTGGTACTGTCTTATATCACTAAGTATAATGGTTTCCAATTGCATCCATTTTGTTGCAAGAGAAGGGATTGTATTCTTTTTATGGTTGAATAATATTCCATAGTATACCACATTTTATTTATCCAGTCATCAGCTGATGGGCATCTGGATTGATTCCATATCTTAGCTATTGTGAATTGAGCTGCATTGAACATGAGATACAGATAAAACTTTCATATACTGATTTCATAATTTAGGTAAATTTCCAAGAGTGGGATGGCTGGGACATATGGTAGAACGATTTTCAGATTTCTGAGGAATCCCCGAACTGTCTTTCACAATGGCTATACTAGCTTACATTCCCACCAACAGTGGATTAGGCTACCTTTTCCCCACATTCTGACTAGGGTGAAGTGAAACCTCATTGCGGTTTTGATTTGCACATCCCTAATTGCTAGTGATCCTGAGAATTTTTTAATGTGTTTATTGTCAATTAGAATTTTACCTTTTGAAAAATTCCTGTTTAAGTCTCTTGCCTATTTCTTAACTGGATTGTTTGTTTTGTTGTTGAGTCTCTTGAGCTCTTAACAGAGTCAGGATATTAATCCTTTATCAATTGTATAGTGTGCAAATATTTTCTCTCATTCTGCTTATTGCTTCTTAACTTTGTTGAGTGTTTCCTTTGCAGTGCAGAAGCTTCTTAGCTTGATGTAATCCATTTGTCTATTTTTGCTTTTATGTCTGTGCTTCTGGGGTCTTTTCTAAGAAGTTTTTGCCAGTGCTAATGTCTTGAAGAGTTTTCTCAATGTTCCCTTCTATGAATCTGATGGTATCAGGTGTTGGATCTAGATCCTTAATCCACTTTGAGTTGATTTTTGTATGAAGTTTATGGTAGTGTTTTTTTTTTTTTTAGATTTACTTATTTATTTGAAAGGCAGAGTTACAGAGAGGCAGAGAGAAAGAGAGGAAGGGAGAGAGAAAGAGGTCTTCCATCTGCTGATTCATTCCCCAGATGGCCACAATAGCAGGAGCTTGCTGATCTGAAGCCAGGAGCCAGGAGCTTCCTCCAGGTCTCCCACACAGATGCAGGGGCCCAAGGACTTTGGCCAACTTCCACTGATTTCCCAAGACATAGCAGAGAGTTGGATTGGAAGTGTAGCAGCCGGGACTCAAACTGGCGCCCATATAGGTTGCAGGCACTGCAGGCAGCAGCTTTACCTGCTATGCCACCATAAAGTATGGTCTTGTTTATTACTTATGCATGTGGAGATCCAATTTTCCAAGTACCAGTCAATGAAGAGACTGTCCTTTGCTCCAGGGATTGATTTTTAGCTCCTTTGTCAAAGATTAGTTGGTTGTAGATGCATGGATTGATTTCTATTATGATCCATTGGTTTAAACATCTGTTTTTGTGCAAGTTAACAGACTGTTTTGATTGCAACTTCCTTGTAGTATGTCTTGAAATCTGGTATTGTGATGCTTCCAGCTTTGTTTTTGTTGTTTAACGTTGCTTTAGCTATTTGGTTTCTCTTGTGTTTTGATATAAATTTTAGCATCTTTTTAAAAGAAAATTATTTGAAATGCAGAGTTACAGAGGCAGAGAGAGGGAAGTCTTCTATCCACTGGTTGACTCCCCACATGTTTGCAATGGTCAGAGCTGCACTGATCCAAAGCCAGGAGCTTTGAGCTTCTTCAGGTTCTCCCATGCACGTTCAGGGGCCCAAGGACTTGGACCATCTTCCACTGCTTTATCAGGCCATAGCAGAGAGCTGGATTGGAAGTGGAGCAGCCAGGACTCTAACCAGTGCCCATAAGGGATGCTGGCACTGCAGGCAGAGGCTTTGCCCGCCATGCCACATTGTCAGCCCTTAGCATCATTTTTTAAAATGATTTATTTATTTATTT